AAACAAAGCGCATGAGAGTTCTGAAATGGCCAGCAATGAGTCCAGATCTGAATCCCATAGAACACCTGTGGAGAGATCTCAAAATAGCAGTTGGGAGAAGGCATCCTTCAAATCTGAAGGCCCTGGAGCAGTTTGCAAAAGAAGAGTGGTCCAAAATTCTAGTAGAGAGGTGTAAGAAACTCATTAATGGTTACTTACAGGAAGTGATTGATTTCTGTTATTTTTTCCAGATGGGGTGCTACCAAATATTACGTTAAAGGTGCCAATAATTTTGGCCAGTGCATTTTTGGGTTTCTTTCTGCGATTGTATCAGATTTGACTTTTCTTCTCTCTTTTTTGTGTTGTTCCAATGCAAACCAAAGAAATGAACATGTGAGTAACAAAACATTTGCAACTGCAAAAATTTTCTGAGAGAAGGGTTGCGTTTTCTGACAGAATTGCAAGGGTGCTAATATTCTTTTGGCCATGACTGTATGTCAAAAGCAGCTCTTCTGTCTAACCTTACACATAATGTTAACTTAAATGGCATTTACCTTACTAGATGAACAAGACACCTATAATAGAAATAATTTGACTTTTACTTCTTAAAATCAGCTATAATATAAGAAGCAACTGCATCAAACAGAAAGACTGGTCCTGAAACACCTTTTCTTAAAACCTCAGCCAGAGATATTGTCAATCAGTTAGACAGAGAGAGAGATTTAAGCATATAAGATATTCTTCTAGAAATCCATTTACTACTACTTTAGTAAGACAAGAAACTTCCTACTATCAGCAGCACCAGGTTTGTTTTCAAACAATAAGTGATGTTTTGCCTTGCCCTAAGTACTTGCTAATGTATGATGATTTTGAAAGAGATAAAAAAAGCATTTATGCCATACAGTAGTTATCTTTTTAGTGCTTCATTTGCTTCTTCATTGTCTCTCCTTGTGGCAGCTTTTCAGAGCATATGTTTGCAGATGAAGTGGTACTTACTTATTTTCTAGATTTATATCCTTCTATATTGAAAAGTTACCAAATGTGAATCAAATTTGATATGAATGGGTGGGTGCGCGCGCACACACACACACACACACACACACACACACGCACACACACGCACACACACGCACGCATGCGCACGCACACACACACACACACACACACACACACACACATTAATGTATTTGGCTTTGAACTTGCTATACATGCAAAAAAAATGAAGAGACTACTCTATAGTACACTCTTAATTATTGACAAATAAAGCATATGCATCAAATTTTAAGGATATTTCCAACACATAATTTAACTCTAGGTCATTTATGAAAAACAAATACATAAAATATTTTGCTATCTCATAAACTGAAGACAATACTACCCACCAACTACAAAATGATTATTATATTTATACTCAACCTTCCACCAGGATGTAGACAAAACAGCAGCCTACTATTAAACCTCACAATTTCAAAATTAAAGCTAAAAATATAACGATGGGTTGGATCCAGAATTGAGCCATCAGCAATGGAAGTGTTACGTCTGCTAACAGAGGGAAGAAACCGGGATCTTCCTTCTCTGTGGAGTCCTCAGCGCCTCCTCACATTCTGTTCCAGAAGGTTCCCTAGAGATTGCCCAGGGAAGGAGAATCTGGCAACCAGTACCTCCCTTCTATCACTTAAGAGAATCATCCCTCACATTTTGCTAGTTTTGCACAGCTCTAGATCCAATCCAGTTTATACCTTCGTTATAAATACTGTACATCTTTTCTATATTCAAGCAGCATTATTTGATATTCAAGGCTTGTTTATTAATCATCAGAGATAACAAGGTTTTTTTTTCCTGCTGAGGGCCACATTCCCAGATGCAGAAGGGAGTGCACAGTGCTGCAGGATTCCACAACATCTTTCCTCTGTGCATCTGTGCCACCTTTTCTCTCTCAATCCCTCTGTCATTCACACATGCAGAGAGAGAGAGAGAGAGAGAGAGAGAGAAAGAGAGAAGCAATTCTTAGAGGGCTGCTCTGGAGAGCAAGAGTGAATCCATAGCATCCTGAAAGCCATGCTGAATTACATCAAGAACTATATAAAGCCCCCATACTATGTTTCCCACTACAGAAAACCAAACCATGTTGCTTTTTCTTTGTACTTTTTTGCAAGTTATTTGCTATCACTTTGAATCAGATTATGTACAAAATATCTGTTTATCTTCCAATATTTAATGATATTTTCAAATATTAAGCAGCAAAGTATTTACCTTGGTTGGCTACTCAATTGCAGGACAGTCTTGTGTGGCAAAGAGTCTTGTGATGACTGGGCATCATCCTATCAATGGGGGAAATTTGCAGAAATTTGTTTTAAACATCAGGAAACAAACTTTCATTTTAAAATCCACCCAGGACACAATACTATCCCCATACATGATAGTTAAGCCTGCCAAATTCAGCAGCATATGCTCCTTTGCATGTATGCATATATCTGTGTTGTGTGTGCATTTTCTGCATGGAGTTGCTATGTTGTGTATTGTTACCAGGAAAGTGGCTTGTGTTTGGGTGCTATTGCTACAGATTCTGTATCTGGAATTGGTGAATTTTTCTTCTGCTTTGTGCACATACATGCACAAGCTGCATATTTCCATTTCCCCAAGTGTTCAAGTTACCTGTTCTTTAATCTTAGCCATTTCCAATGCTGTGAAATGTATGTTCAATGGAGAGGTACTACTGTATGTTCGGGAGCTCAGCTTCACAGTACTCAGTGCCTTGCAAGGCTGTCTGTTCACTTCAACAGTTTGCCTTCGCTGGAATGAGTATTTTGTGTTTGGTTGAATCAATTACTGCAGTCATTTTGGAATAAGGTCCACAAGTACTTTCTCAATATTAAAATGTATCCACAAATCCAAGAAAATTGGGGATTTTTGTCTTACTCTCTGCAAGCATATTTAGGCTTATGCGATGTTCAGTGAGCTACTTCTGATTCAGAAAAAGGCTTTTTATACGCATATTCTTCCTCCCAAGGATGAATATAGTCTTCAAGCAAGTATCGCACATAAATACGGTCACCTTGGCCTAGTGTCATTAAAGGGCCAGTCCAGGTTTAAGGATCACTCTTTATAAAGTATTTCCAGCTGCCTCCCTGTCAAGAACCTAACATGACTGACCACATCACCAATTGTGGCTGTATTTCTGAAAATAAGCCACCAGTCATGAGAACTGTTTCCAGAAACTCACCATTGTAAGGAATGGTGTTGATGGGTTGTAACTATACATTTCTTGGTCCTTTAGAATAAGAATGTGAGCAGAATCAGTGATGATTTTCTTCAAGTTCATTAACGAATGGAAAAGCCTGTGAATAAAATAAATACTGCAGCTCTGGAAGGCTTAACTTAAGCATTCTTTATCTTAAAGGACTTGAGGGGGAAAAGAGCGAAATTACTAAATTTTGGCTAACATGGAGCTATTAATCAGGTGGCTTAAACATAAGACAAGCAAGAGAAAAATACAAGCCAAAATCTTATACCAGTGTGTCCAAAAATGAAAACCCAGAAGTAAGATACAGTCTTAAAACAAGAAATGTACAGAGGTTCAACATAACTGCAACACTCACCTGGTACCATAATCAACAACTACCCAATCTTTAGCTGTCCCTGTGATTGCATCATGATGTTGAAAAAGTCCTAGGTTTCTCCTGGCCTCTGTCAATAATTTGTAATGGTCTACTGATGGAAATACTTTCATTTTCTCAAACTTTTTGGTCTGCACCAAGGCCAAAGAATACAGAATTTCTGCAGCCCTGAAATAAAGGGGACATTTTATCACTTAATTACAATAATGTATTTAGTAAGTCAACCTCATTTTATGTAGAAGTTGCAGAATCCTATACTTTTATTGGAAAAAAAATAAACATTTGAACATACTACTGCATATTTCAACCAGAACACACACACATGGTGAAATACTCAAAATTCTCTCCTAGAGAGCTGTACTGTTTTATTTTAGGGAAATGCACCAGGACATTCTTGAGTTATTTCTAGTTTCGGAAAACAGATCTTCCTGAGCCCAAATGTCTCTGGGTGGGCAGGAATGGCAATTTTTTTTAAAAAAATGAAAACATGAGGCGATGTTGGGGGCTTGCACTTGGTCTGTGAGGGTGGAATGTTGCCTGTATGCCACAGTTTACCTACTTGTGATGTAAGGCCATCAAGAAATAATTCCCACTCATCCCCACAAAGCATGATGCTAAACTAAGCAGTATCCTCTCTGCAGTCCTGACCAGAAGGGCTAACAGCCAAGGATGATGAAGAATGCAGTTCAAGGATATCTGGAGGACAACAGGTCGTCATCACTAATATGTACCCCAACACATGTTTGCTCCACGCTATCCTTTCTCGCTCAGAGAAGCAGTGATGGGTAGGGGGCTGTCCCAGAATCTTCACTTTGGGGATACAGATAGGGTTACCAGGAAGGTTCTCTTTTTTTTAAGGAAAAGAAAGAAAGGCACCTCTGCCTGCCACTTTCTGGAGGCCCAAATAGCAGAATGGAATAGCTCTGCACTGCTTTTTTTGAATGGAGAAATGACACAGTGGTGGCATGAGGCAAAGATTAGGAGCTGACAACAGCAAGAGAGAAAGCATAAAAGCATTATTAGCGCAGAAAAACATGTGTACATAATACACGTTAAGGCAATGTAGCCTGATTGTGCTCTGTGAACATGGATCTCAGTTGGGAAGGAACAGCGTGGAGTGGCTGAGAAAGAAAGGCTGAGGAAAATATATTGATATTAAAAGAGACACTGATATAATAGAAATAACTGTTTCATTGTATTGACAGGTGCCTTCCTACTTCACCTTGAAAAGGTATTTTGAATGCCAGCCAAGGTCAGAAGTGAATGCTGCTTCATGAAACAATGTAAAAAAAATCAAGACTATACTGCAGCTAGATTTGGATATGCATCTCAGGTGTCACTCTAGTGCAAACTGAATATGCTCAGTTGGCACATAATCCTAACTGGCGAAGGGAGGAAGGGAAGGCAGTGGACCTCAGTTGTCCTGGTACAAGAAACATAACAAACTGCAACATTCTATTGCAGGGCCCTAGTTATCTCAACCTGGCTAATCAAAGCAGCCAGGTCTGTGACAACTGAATGGGCTACTGCAATAATTAATGGGCCTCTCCAGGAGGGCACGGTTCCTTTTGCCCTCAAGGAGACACTCATCAGGCCCATTAGGAAGAAGTTGAACTTGGCAGTGGAGAGTACTGGCAATTACTGTATAGGCCCATTGCCAATCTTTCTTTTCTTAGCAAAGTAGTAGAGAGGGTGGTAGCCGACCAGCTTCAGGCCCTATTGGATGAAACCAATGCTCTGGATACATTTCAGTTGGGCTTCAGGCTGCGTCACAGCATGGAAATGGCATTGGTCACCCTGTTGGATGACCTATTGAGGGAATCCAATGGTGGCAAAATGTCCTTGTTGGTCCTTCTTGACATCTCACCCACCTTTGACACCATAAACCACGGTATCCTCCTGGGGAAGCTCTCCAAGTTAGGGATCAGTGGTCCTACTTTTGCTTGACTCTGGTCCTTCTTAGAGGGTTGTCCCCAGAGAGTACAGATTGGGGAGGATGTATTGGACCCATGGTTCCTCAATTGTGGGGTTCTGCAGGGTTCGATCATCTCCCCGATGCTGATTAATATCTATATGGGGCCGCTGGGTGGAGTAATCCAGGGGTGTGGAGCATCGTGTCACCAGTATGCTGATGACACTCAGCTCTACATCTCCTTTTTTCCATCTGCAGTGGATGCCATTACATCTCTTGAGTGCTGCCTGGGGGTCATTCTGCAATGGATGCAACTGAATGGACTGAGGTTGAATCCGGACAAGACGGAGGTCTTGAGGGTGGGTGCTCCCAGCATGAGTGCTTTGGGAAACTCCCTCTCTTCTGGAGGGGGGTGACCCTCACCACAAAGAGTGTGGTTCGCAGTCTGGGGGTTCATCTTGACTCAG